TTGGCAAAAAGAAAGCACTCTTGCGTTTGTTGGTCAAACATTGAGAATTCAGTCTAGAGTCTAGTGTGAGTCTATACATAAATTGCCACGATCCACTCACGACTGACCTACTCACTACACAGAGTGAACACCCAAATTGATTTGAAAGCGGATGTTCCTCAAAGAATGGTGCAACTGGTTCTGATCATTCTCAACTGCATGGAGACTCAATACTTGCCAGTTTTTTTCGCTAAGCATGAAACATGCATCTCTACCAAGTCTGAAGAATGAATGCTAACCACAATCCTCCTAGATAATCCTGTTGTCAGTTTCGTAGAGAACCTGTAAAAAAGGTCTCTGGCAATGAACCGTTTTTGTTTCTACATTACGATACATTCAATTTGCCTAAACGCTGCATACACCATGAAAGTAGCTTCAAAAGGATCAATCTTTTCCAAGCAGCTTCAAACAGTCGACAAAACGGACAGGTGGCCTGGCAAAGGCTTCTTTTGCATCTCGAGGCCTTAGCATCATCGCTGTGGCAACTCAAAAGGCGCAATCTCTGAGCCCATCGCGTGGACCTTTAAAATATAGTCCCTGATTTCGCCTAAAGCAAGCAGCCGCAAGCTGAAAACTGATGCGAATTGTGGTCCATTGGACCGTTTGCTCTTGTTCATGGCTATTCGCTGCAGCATCAACACGTTCGCCTTATTAGACTAGCTTCCTCACTTAGGGAAAGATGAGAAAGAAAGAACAAGATCTACAGGTCCAAAGACAATAATGCAAAAACAAAAGAAAAAACAAAGAACACTCAGAACACAATCTAAAGAAATCAGATTTAAAACATTGCTACAATCTGGAAGATAATAGCTAAATATAGCAGCTACCTATAGTGGTTGAGACTACCCCTGGCTGGCCTAAAGCTGGATGAGGAGCTCTTCCCGACCTCATTTGAAGCAATCCTCTGTGATGTGTCCACCAATGAGTCTGTTCATTGAGTCTCGATCTGATGATTGTTTCGGGGTCGACTGCCACGAGGCTGAAGAAGTAAAGGATGGTGACCTCAGAAACAGATTGCATCAACATGTAACAAAGGCTCACAAAGGACACAACTCCAGGATGATGTTAAACACATGACGTTGTTTCTGTCCTCAAATGTGCTCAGTGCCCCAACGGAATGCTTGAGATATCAGGAGCGAGATCACTGAGAGCGTCCTGAAGCTCCTCCTGCCCTGCCTGCCAGATGCAGTGCGTCGCAGTGTATATTTGAAGAAACAAAGCAAAGGTGTTTGAGTCCAAAACCTTCAGCGAGATTGACAGCTCATCCGCCTGCACACGTATTTACCAAAGGATGCCAAGGCCCACACCCAGCCACAAAATGAACTGATTGCTATTTTGGTTGGATGTGCCCAGTCCTCTTCCTGAGCTTCCTCACAATTGATCAGGGTGTTCGAGTCTGCACTTCAAAACTCAGGGAAAACTAAGGAACGCACTGCAATCTGCTTCCGGAGCTCTTCCCGAACCTGACAAAGCACTTTTAACAAAACCAAGAATGCCGTCTGATCGAGCAGGGAAGTCTTCCTGGTGCCTTTTTGATGAAAGGAAAAGCATTCTGCCACTGCCAATTGGATAAAGGAGGTTGAGCGCAAACTAGTCAGGCAAAACCGTCGCCAAGTTTGCAAACAGCATCCAAAGCACGCGTGCGCTGAATTGCATGGAAAAGGGCAAGCCAACGCAAAGGTTATCAGGTTATCAGAACAAGAAGCAGTAACAGCAAGATCAAACAGCACATTTCGCATGGATATTGCTTAACCACCAATTGAAGCCGCGTTACATATCCATTATCATCGATGGCATTTAAGGCAGCTTGCCTCGTTGTGTTGAGCTCTGCGTCTCTCTTGCTCCTGGAGATTCTGCGAGCCGGCCAAAAAGTCAACACGTACTTGGTTATAACAGTAGTAGCTATTTGCTCCTAGTATTGCCCTTTGCTCCTAGTAGCGATGCCCTTGTTACTAGTAGCTTCTTGTTCCTAGTAGTTACAATAATATAACATAAACCATGACAATATAGACATCAATGCCCAGCTGCCATTCCCAAGTCTTCCAATTCGCAGGATCCTCTTGTCGAAGAGTGATGTCCTTTTGCAAGGCCTGAGCAAAAACATTTAAACAATATATATATATATATGTCCAGACTTCCAGCCCTTGCTTCTATGAAGTCGTCCAACTAGAATATTGCGCGAACAAGAAGCGCACCTAGTTCAAAACACATGCCTTTCTCTTCTCTCCTAGTCAAGTCTTTACTAGCTCCAAAACGAGTCTTTTTTTCACAAGAGAAGTCTTCCATTGGCCTGAGGTCTTTGCCATGAGAGTTGACAGCGCTTCGTGATACCGACTCTTCCATTTATCATCCTGTGGTCGTTCACATCAACTCAAATTGTAACTGTCTGGTATATGTCGAGCCAACCAAATAGCGATGGCCTCCAACCTAATAGACATGGCCTCCAACCTTATAACTGTCTGGTATATTTCGAGCATGCTGCATACCAACTCTCCATCTCTGAAGCTTCTTTTCTGCACCGCCCTGCCCCCCCTCTCCGCGTGGCCTCACGCTGAACCAACTCAGTAGTTGAGATACCCTGTCAAGTGCACTTGGCGATTTCCGGAGCTTGGAACGGTGACTGATTCGATGCGACAAGTTGGAACCAGCAGTTGAATCACACAAAAAAGACAGATTGCTCACACTGATACCCACAACTTTTGGCATGTTGTCGCCAATCAGTGCTGAATAATCCGTCGACATTCTTGTGGAAGCGGGAGCAAGTCTGAAAATAGGTTAGATTGCGATTGTGTGCCTTCCTGTTTTTGCAGCGTTTGGTGTTTCTGTTCTTGCTACATTGGCTTTGAGTGATGACTTTCAAGGGGAGGAAAGTGAGAGTACCGACTAACAGTATGCAAAGGAAGGAATGATCCGTCTTGTGGTGTGCTTTTCAGCGTTTACAACAAGAGCTACGCATATGTCACACACACACACACGACAAGAAGTGCTTCAAGGATGGCTCACAAGAAGCGATCCCAAGGAAGAACACCTCATTGGATTGGTTGGTCTATTCTTGCTTGTTAAAAGCAGATTGTAGCGAATCGTGTGTCCATGCTCTCCTCGTCGGGCTCACTGGGTTGAAGTATACTCTCGCCATTGAAAATCCCCTGAGCGACAGCTGTTTGGAAGTTGGGTCTCTGAACAAATCAAATGACAAGTCACCTGGAGGCACAACTCACCCTTGTAATTCGGGAACTCAGTGACCTCAATGTCAGCCAGCTGAGATCAGTTTATGCGGTTGTGCCTAGCTCTCAAAGGCTAGGCCCGCTGGGCATCCAGCCCTGTTTGGACCACTTTCCCATTCAATTCCACCAAGCCTGCAAGACTCACGGTGTGCTCAACGGACGAACCAAATGCTTCACCTCTGAGGCGTCAACCGCACACGGACGAACTTGAACTCTACCCGCTCACACGGTGAAATGGCAACAGGATCTTGGGTCTCCTGGCATGTAGACACTCAAGAGTGCACAACCTGCAAAGAGAAAAAAATACATGTTAAACAAATAAACTTATATATATATATAGGAACTAAACAGGAGAAAAGGACCCAGGCATTGCCCTTCCACTCCAACCTGGCATGACACCAGCTGTGACTGTAAAACTATTTACCAAACCCTGTCCAAGCAAAGCCAACATGGGCTCTCTGATCACTGTGTGGATCACCGTGTCCCCTTGCCGTGACGAACGTAAACTGGCGAGTTACTGCAAGCCAGAGCTTGGGTTCCAACCTGAGTAGAGTTGAAACTGCAGTCCCAAGCCTTCCCTTTCCTTCCTCTCCTTTCGTTTCTTCGTCTCGAGACTTCTAGTGGCTGTACAATCGTTCTTCGACTCTTGTTTTCATGTTTCACGTTCTTCACTTCTTGAAACCTGACTTTTTTGTTTTTAGCTTTGTATCGACCTTTGGTTGTGTCTCTCTCCTGTCCGCCCTTCGAATGAAGTGCCACTAAGCTCCCAGCAGCCAAGCGCTTCATGAGATCCCAAAACCTTGGCATCAACTCCAATGGAAGGCACTGCATCGCTTTCATCTCACTGTGAAAGAAAAGGCCATTGGAGGCATTTGCCTGCTACCGGGCCTACTGGGTTCCGCTCAAAGTCGTCCCCTTCAGTCCCCTCCTTTTAGTGAACCGTGAGGAACTCCGAACGAAGACAGTATTCGATTACTTTGGTTTTTTTAAACAAGATTTAACAAGAATCAATGGCACCAAAAGTAGCAAACTTGAAGCTGCATTCCAATTGAGTTCCAACTGGGAGCCAAACGGCAAAGCGTTCGCCTGGTCCAGGGGCTTGGAGCTTCACGTGCAGCCTCAGCGGCGAGCTACTACAGCGCTCACTCGCTGTAGCAGCTGTGGCACTACGTCACTCTATGTCCTTTCGCCAAGAAACTTCAACTGCACCTGACAAGGGTCAATCACTTCAGCCGCAGGAGGCTGGACAGTTTGCAAAGGCACTAAGTGACGTCTGGACAATATCACAACCCCCTCAAAGAAGTAAGTGTTCCACGATCCTCTCGTGGATCGGTGACATGACCTGGCCAAAACAAATGTGTTTTACAGTAAATTGTTTTAATATGTTCTAGTCACTCTCAAGCGGCTTGAACCAACTGTTGCCAGGCCCACAGTTAAAATCAAAGGCCACAACCATTTCAATCGAATATCATTCTACGAAAGCCCGGGTTTGCAAGCTCGACTGGCTATTGGTTGCATCTTCTCAAAGGCTTGCGTTGTGTGGGCTGGTAGAGTGACAGCTTTTCGGTCGGCAGTATCTTGTTTCTTGAGGCTGAAGTGAATCTTGAAGCCGACCCACGAATTGGAGCCAAATCTCTGACAAAAAAATCACGTGTATGCTTTGGCACGCTCGAGATTCTGTGATTTCCCATGATTTCCCCCAGCAATGATCGATAGAGCTGCCCTTTTCTGAAGCCATCAGAGTTCCTCTCTTGTGGGACCATCTGGAAGTTTTTCCAAATGCTCTGAGGATCCTGAAGGACTTTGCCAAGTGCTTGGAAGCCATATGGTGCCATGAGCGTACCTCTAACAATGTTTGTAAACTTGCTAGGATATACTAGGATTCTGGATTTCTCGCTTTGGTCCTTGCAGCACACGTGCCGGAGCCTGAGATGTACGAGCTGAATCAATCGGTGTTCCAGCCCTGTGACGATTGAGATTCAAACTCTGGGAGCGTCCACAAGTACCTGAACCGAACGAGTATGTGCAAGCTGTGCGAACGACGAAGAAAGGTGATCCAAATCAAATGTAAAGCTTTGAATGGAAACAAAGGATTGTATAAATCAGCAAGCAATCCTCACCTGAGACTCACTGCCAAATCCATAGAAAAGTTTGGCATCGCTCATTATGGGCCTCGTCTCACTTCAAAACTCAGCTTGAGACTTGCATGGGAGTGGGGTAAGTGAGTGGTTGCGATGATGTTCTCCCTGTACAGCTCTGAGGTCAAAGCAATGCAGCATATCGCTGGTACCTGGTATGCGTTCCGCACAGGGTCTTATAACTTCATAGACTTTGCTGGTTGCTTTTTTCAACCATGGAAACAACATGGTTGATCTTCAAGTCACTTCTCAATGCAACTCTGCTCAGCTGTTCCGGTGATGTTGATTGCAATTCTGAGACAATCAAACGCACGTTTAGCCTTGCTCTGAGCACGAAAGCAAAGCTGACTTGAGTTTGCAGGAGTCTACCTTTAAAAGCTTACAGCTTGTGGGAGAAAATCTCGTGACCAGTTCCAAACACCAAACACTAACAAAGGGGATGGGCGGGCGGAGGTGTCACACTAAAAAGAACCTATAGGCCTCCAACCTAATAGCGATGGCCTCCAACCTAGTAGCTTCTTGCTCCTAGTAGCGAATGTGATGGGTGATGTGACTTTGTCATGTCAATGTGTGGTCAATGTGGTTCGTGATGTATGAAGTGGGGAAGCATTTTTGATGTAGTGCAGGACCTGCAGGGCGATGTGTGATGTGGTCAGGTAAACGTAAAGGTGAGGCGTAACAGTTCTTGTGTGACTTCTTGTCTGACTTCTTTGTGTGACTTCTTTAAAAGCGAACTGTTTGACATGTCACATGTCGCTTTTGCTGGGCCTTCCTCTTGAATGATTCACGAAGCATGTCTTCACAACCACATTTATGCCTCTAAAAAGCGAATTCTCTGAGCAGCTGAACACCATGCAAGTACAGCATACATAGTGGTTTGTAGACTCAAGTTAACCTGTGGTAGGTCCCCAAACCTGCGTATGCGTCAGATTCTCTCTTTTTTTCGCAGAACCCTAGCCTATTGGGAAGAAGGAAACAAGTTCAAGTCAAAACGCATGCAAATGATGAATCGCTGAACTCAAAAACTCGCCGTTAGCACGATACCAAGTCCTTCTTAACGAGATGAAGCTGATCCTCAGAGAGAGAGAGAGAGAGAGAAAAAAAACACACACAGATCGATAGATAGTCTGCAGCCATGCCAAATTGTTTCCTTTGCAACATCTTTTTTGTACAGAAAAGAGTATTGAGTACAGCAATGAATCAAAAACGGTTGGACAGGAGAATGTATTCAAACAACAACTGTTCTCCACCTTGATGTTCTCCAGCACTTTCGCTTCAGTGTCCAAAACCATCTTTTTGGCTTTGGCCTTCGAAGAACTCACAGGACTCCGAATGAATACTGTTCTTCTGCTGCTTCTATCTTCTGCTCACTGCTCTCTACAAGCTTTCTTGGACCGAGCCCATCCTGGACCCACCACCCTCAAAGTGAACCCGTACACTCCATCTGGAAGGAAGACATAGAACACACATTAAACACACACGAAATAAAGTCACAAATCGCATCTGGCGACGCATCCAACGAGAAAGGCGGCGACGCTGGCGACGCTCTCTGGAGACGGGTCGTCCCGCCTTGGCCGTCTTGGTGATCAGCGTGTAATTCGCCTCACCACCGGCCTTGATCACCTGACCGGAGACCGGTTGAAGTGCTTCCGTTTGGACCTGTTTTTAATGTGTTGTTTGCATTCTGGGGAAGTTTGCCTTTTTCTTTCTCTTTCTTTTGGTCTTTTCTTGAACCGTTAACTATATAGACAGCCCTTTGTTCTTTCCATGTCTTCTCTTCTTACCTTATCTGTTCTGGTCTTGTTGTCACAAGTTCTCACATGGCGGCTCTATTTTCTATGGCTTCAACACTTAAAAGACATATCCCCTCACCTAAAGATTTCTCCTGCAAATCCAAGTTTGCCATGTTTGTAGCCGTTCTGCTGTCACAATCCCAGCCTTGATCCTCTTGTCAAACTGAGACTCTATGACAGAGGTCATAGCACGAATCTGCGCAGATTCCTGAATAAAAAGACTGTCTTTACGCAAAACCAACCTACCAACCTGTCCTGGCCTAAATTAAGCATTCTTTGTCATTCAGTGGACAGGCAACAGGAGGTAGAAGCCGTAGAAGCGCATGAATCATCGCTTCTTTGGGGCATCACGCATAACGTACAGTGTGGCCATCTCAGGTTTCAAGACGCCACAGGGCCAGCCGTGCAAGTGTTCTGCAGGCAGGTCTGAGTATATACACATACAATTTACAATTGCTAAATTCGTGTGAGCTCAAATTCCAGCAAATTCAAGTGATTCTTTGTGAATCACCACATTAAATCTCAGGCGGCAAAGTCTGGAGTCCTTCCTGCTGCGGCAAGGACTTTGCCTTGGAAAACAATACGTTCGTTAGGTATTAAAGTATAATAGCTGTTGCATGATAAAGCTCCTTGTTCATGGTCTTGCAGTGAAGGTCAACATACCAACAACGTCTTTAACTCTGCTTCAATGTTCAATATCTTTCTCAAAGCCAAAGCTTGGTGCTGGCTGTCTCAACTCTATGCAAAGTACCAACAAATTTGGGTTGCTCCCATCCCCTTTCCTCAAACCAACAACCTGCTTGACTGTTTCATTTGAAGCCAGTAATGCATAGCATAGTAAAGAACAAATACTGCGTTGCATGCTGCACCCTCTTTTTACACGATGTCCAAAGGATTTCTCACCGCATATGATTGGCCTTTCTCCCGTTTGACCCATTTCACCGAAGGGCTCGACGAATCAATGGCCGCGAGAGAGCGCCTCCTCGCAGTCCCAAAGCGCCTCAGAGAGCGCACGAGAACGCCGTTCTCGCGAACGCCGTTCTCGCGTCGGTCTCTCACAGTGTCGGTGCACCAACACTTGCATCTCAGAAACCTTTGAGCTCCATTCCTGTTCTTCCCTGACCAAACTCTTTGAAATATTGTGATGGAAGAATAGATAAGAATAGCAAGAATTCTGATATGCAAGTTGAAATTCCAATGATTCCAACTGCATTGCTCTGCACTCAAAGCTTGTCACAAAGGCTGCACAACAATCTTCAAATTGCGAATCACTGTGCCTCTTTCTGAGCTTTGTGCCTGTCACAGAAATGTGGGGAAATTCGAAATTAGCGGCCCAAGGGGAAACTAGGGAAGCCTGAAAACGGCATCATTGTCAAGAGAAAGCAAAACAACAAGGAAATGCCAAGCCGCAGCCAAAGCAAAGGGGGGATGTGGAAACGTCATGGAAACTATTTTGTATGCTTTTCTTTGATGTTGTATGTGTTATCTTAATTTTCCAAAATCTTCTGAACTTCTGACCTGACTTTCTGAAACAAATTGTCCAAGCCTTGTGAGCTGCGAAGCAGAGGCACTCCGCATCTGCAAACCGGGCAAACTGTAGCCTGGAGACCCTGGGCATGGAGATGGGCCTGTCTGGCGTGTGTGGCCAGTCTGGCCACCAGGCCCTACTTCGCACCCAGGGAACTCTGAGCTGGAGCGGCTGAACTTCTCCGTTGGACGCACGTCCACCACGTCCACGGTCTCTGACGAGTCCTGAGCACGATGCTCGACGATGCTCGAGGATGCTCAAAGGAACGACGCTTAATCCTCTTTGTTTCTAATAGCGATGCCCTTTGCTCCTAGTAGCGTCCTTGCTCCTAGTAGTATGGCCAGGAGCCCCTAGTAGCTTCTTGTTACTAGTAGTAAGAATGCTCCTAGTAGCGATGCCAGGAGCCCCTAGTAGCGCCCTTTGCTCCTACACCCGGGGACCTCTTTGTCCTCGTCCCCGTCGTCATCTCCGTCTTTCAGATCTTCCTGTTGAGAGATCACCAACGAGATGTGTGTGTGTTTTTTAATCATGTGCTACGCTTGTCATGCTTTTGTCAATCCCACCTGACTTTGAGCCTCACTCTCTGGGTCTTCGCATTGCAGGTCCATCTCGACAGGCACTTCAACGACAACCTGGCAATCTGGATCTTCAAAATACATCTCAACACTGACTCAACATGGGCACCGGACAGAAAGAAACGTCAACCGACTTCCTTTCTATTCATTTCTCCCTTTGCCAAGTGAGCAACCAAAGAGCTGATCCAAAATGAGCCAAATGATAATTGAGACCTTCTTCCCCACTTTGTCCCTTGTGCCCTGCTCGTTCCCGGCTCATCTCCCCTTTCCCCGCTTGACCACTCATGACTCATCACGGCTCATGCAGCTCTGGCCTGTCGCACTTTGCGCTTGGCAGGCGCAGGCCGCCGCAAAAGAGCCAGCTTGGGACGGCAGGGCATGCCGTGCCTGGGTAATGCAAAGATTCTGCAACAAATCCCTGTGAACAGGCTCTGTAGCCGATGTTCCATTGAGCTTCTGAGTTCAAGAATCAAAGTTGACATGTAAAACAGACGTTTAAAATCGTTCAATTCTCTGAGTACCCAACAAAGCTTTGCTGACAGTCTCGTCGTACTCCCTGGTGCGGGAGACACAAAGACACTGAAAAAGCCTGTCGTAACAAGATGTAACAAGTGTAATGTAGTGAATGCTTTTGGACTGCCACGAAGACATTGTGGAATCTGCATCACCAAGTGATACTCATCACTATGTCACCCCTGGAATATAATATGCACTTATCACTCTTTAGAGTAAAGTGCCTGGCCTCTTCACCTGAATCTTCGGGAAAACGCCAGCTGCTTCATGAAGAAAGGTGTCCATTGCAGCACCTGATGCCATGATGACAAAGGTGCCTGATGACTTCCTGGGTCCAACGCTTCACTCAGAAAACACTGCTCAGCACAAGCAAAGGACTCTACGAATGGGGCTCCTCGCCTACTGGGAGCATTCTTACTACTATATATATAGTAACAAGAAGCTTTCAACAAGATTTCAAAAGAGACACCCGCTCTGCATCTTGCAGCTCTGCGTCAAAAGCTTTCGTGCAGTTCGCAGAATGGCAGAGTGAGAGCCATCCATTTCAAGGATCTCTGATGCAATGATGAAGTCCTGGGACAACCATCAGGGTCAATCTAATTTCTTGCAGTTTTGCGAAAAGGCTGAGACAATCCAAAGAACTTTAAAGAAAAAACATATTGACAAACACTTCACTAACAAAACAATGTCAAAGCAATTTGGTCAAGCATCAAACTTTTTGACGCCAGGCACCTCCCCAAACTTCAGCTGCCTGCTTCTCAAAGATGCCTCCAAACAATCATGGGATCCCAGTCTGCTTGTGCCAAACGCGAAACAGTTATTTTTCTTGATGGAGGGTTAGGCCGCTAAGAGGTAACAGGAAGCTAGTTATATAATAGCTATTAGGTACTGGACGCTACTAGCTACTGGACGCAGGATAGCTCACGTTTCTACCAGGAAGCTCCCCCTGCTGCCTTGAAGAAGCGTGAGCTATCTTGCGTCTATGTGTAGCAGCTTAAGTAGCTCGTAGCGAACTTCTCCCTTACTTAATTGAGTAGGAGCCTACTTAACCTAATAGCGATGGTGTCCATCCTAGGAGCGGGCTTTAAAAACAACAAAAAATATTCGATGTGCCAAGCTACTAAAAACAAAGATGTAGTAGCTTCTAGATACTAGTAACAAGTGCATCGCTACACAAAGGGCATTACTACTAGTAGCGATGCCCTTTGTTACTAGTAGCGATGCACTTGTTGCTAGTAGCTTCTTAGCTACTAGTAGCTTCTTGCTCCTAGTAGCGATGCACTTGTTACTGTTTTCAACATTTCGATGTGCCAAGCTTCTTTGCCAGCGTTCATTGCTACTGCTTCCTCCAAAGATCCGACTGCATGAGGGTCTCCATCAGTGAGCTCTACGTGCTTGCTGCTGATGCAAGCCTGCAGATTATCACTGGTGTGGCTATTGGGACATTTTACCAGATCTTGCTACTGAAATTCGTGAAATGTCCAAACTCCTTCGAAGCTCTGGCAACAACTGGTGACTGGTGGGTGTCAAGAACGAATCCCGCAACGGGCTTTGGACTTAGCTACTTCACTGTTGGTCTCGAAACCCCGTAATACGAATGGACCCTTGAGAACTCCCATAAAACCAATCTTGCGGTCTTCATGAACTCGTTTTGTTGCAAAAAAACAAGATATCTTATCGACGTTTTGCACTTTGACTCACCCTTCCTGTCCACCAAGGCACGGCCAAGAGTCCAGCCAAGCCCGTGCCAGCACCCAGCTCCAGAACTCTGGAACGCCGCATCGCCCGAGAAGTCTTCAGCACCTTTGGGCGACAAAGGGGCAAAGACCAAGGTGAGTAGCCAAGAACCTACCCTCCCTACAACATGGAAGTGGACAATGGCCTGCCGAGATACTATTTTCCTCTACAAACAGGAGGTTGTCTGCTTCAATGTTTGTTGGGAGTAGGGCAAGGCTTTATTACATTATAGCTTTATATTATGGCTTCGACCAATGGCTGCATGTAGCAAAATGAAGAAAGTAAGGAAAGCAAGAAGAATGCCAACAAACATCCGAAACAGTATATCATACAAACATTCTGCTACCTAACAAGCCGAAGCAGTGGCTTTTTCAACCTATCTCAGCTCCCTGATCTCGGAGCAAGTGTCTTGGTGGTTTAGTTCTGGCCATAAAAGACTGATCATGACGTGCAACATCTGAAGTGCTTGCAATGTTTCCATCTGAAGTGCTTGAAAAAGTATTTCATTGCTAGGATGGAGACCATCGCTTTTGGGATGGAGGCCATCGCGATTCATGTTTCCGGTACTAGTAACAAGTGCCACGCTAGTAGTAACAAGTGCCTTACTAGTAGTAACAAGAAGCTAATAGAAACAAGAAGCTACTTGGAACAAGTGCATCGCTAGTAGTAACAGGTGCCTTACTAGTAACAAGAAGCTAATAGAAACAAGGTTCGCTACTGTTTGTCGCGATTGTTTCGTCCTTTCACCCCGGCACCCACGCTGCGAGAGCTTCTTCACCGCATGTGACTCTTGGGGAGTCCGCCCGTCGACGGAGTCGCACCTGGTGGACGGCTCAATCTGATGGACATATGGTC